TGTTTCCTTAGGAGTGCTGGATATGCAGAGACATGAGACACTAGAGTGAACAGGAAAGCAGTGCAGGGGTCCGACCTGTCTCTTTAATGGAAACTCTTTCTTTCATTATGAAACTACTGCCTCATTTGGCACAAGTTGAGTACATGCTGGGAATAGAGCAGGGTAATTGCGGGTCATGATGATCTAGAAGGATTAGTTAGTTTGTATAAACATGTTCCGAGTCCAGCTATGTTTCAGTTAAGCTGCACACAGAAATACCAAAGCAGGCCAGCCTTGGTTCAGTGTCACAAACTGTTTATTTGTACAAGAGATCCCTAGAAGTCTACTAATCCTGGAGACAGCCATTTTAGGGAATTAATGCGACCCTCTCTGTAGTGGTTATTTTGAAACCAGATTAGACCAGGCCCTTGAGAAAGCGGCATAGAAAGTAATTCCACGTGGACTCCTGTTGTGAAGCAGGGACAGTGGATCTTTTGAAAGAACTTGCCTATCACAAATGTCTGTTGATTGCATTTGTTCTAGAAGGATATAAACCATGAAGGGTACGAGGCTGTGGCTTACACATTTATGTAGGAATGCTATTTATGTAGGGCACGGCTTCTGTGTGGAACTTGCTTTCCTTCTTGCCTGTTGAGAAATAGCTGTAAATTTCCTGGGGTTCAAGCAGGCCTTCAAGAAGCTCCTTTTGCATTTTGATGCCTCTAATGATGACCACAAATGGAAGCTACCCTGGTCATTGTTCACTAAACATTTACTGAGCATTTCCTGTGGCCAGGGACCCAGTTCAGGACTGGATACAGAGATGATAGAGATAACAGGAAAAACAATGTAACATCTTCAAGAAGGTTACAGTCTGGTTTTGGAGGGAAGGGGGAGGGAAGAGACAGATAATGTAAACAGACCATAAACGTATAAGGAGATAAGTGGTGGAACAAAGTTAAGGACAAAGCGCTGGGTGGGTTCGAACTCCACAGGGAAGGAAGCAATTCACTTTGTGAGTTGTCTGGGGAGATCAAGAAAACCTTTTTGGGGAGGTGATTTTCAGGCAGGTCTTAAAGGATGCGTTGGAGTTGGGTAGTCCATCAGAGTCACCAGCACCAATAGGCAGGGAGAGAGGTAATGAGATCAGCAAGAAAAGAACTTGTCCAAATGGGCTCAGGATAGACTTTTGATTGGCATACTCTGTATCTCCTATTTAAAGAATAGTTTGGTTTCTGTCTTTATTTCTGTGACAAGCTGCTTCTCATTTGTTGCTTTGACTTCTCTCTTATACCTAATCTCCTTTGGCAATCTTGATTCAATTCAATTTGGCGTTTATTGACATCTTATAATTTTCTAGAGCTCTAGAGCAGCCCTGTGGGAGACACAGGAGGTCCTGTTCTCCAAGGCTTGGGTGGGCTTGGCTTTCATGTCCTCATTACAGTGCTTTGGAAGCAGGTTGATAAAAATTATCTTCTAGTCCTTAAAAGCCATCCAAATGGACAGTTGACAACTCAGCCTAGTCTCAATTGGGAGGTTAGTGAAAATGTCACAAAATATGCTAGGCATGGATGTTGATGTTTCTGATGTAAACTGTAACTGAAGCTGAAGATGGTGCAATATAAATCCTTTCTTATGACAAACCCAATCCCCAGGAGTGAGACCACAGGCTGATTCATTTATCTTTCATATGTTTTGGGACAAGCACAATTTTTCCAAAATCTGAAATTGTCTATTATAGGAATGTATGCCTAAGGGCAATATAAATGAAGATATTCCTGGCACTAACTCTCCTGAGTTATAAGGATAAGAATCTCTGAGATCCTATCTTTAAAAACCTACAATGTTGTGTGAATTTTTTCCCCACACCTCTTTTATTTTATTGGCAGTTCAAGGAAGGGAAATGCTAACCTAGTTATTAGTTTGACTCAATAGACCCCCTTGTCTGAGGAAAAAAAAAAGTGATATGAATGGTAACAACCCCAAAATAAACTCATGCTGGCATTCACCACTCTCCTCTGAGGCATAAAAACTAGATCTTATTCTTTTAAGTGTTTATATTTTGTATACCTGGAAAATCTTATAAAACAGAAAGGAAAAGGCAAGGCCAAGGCAACTGAGGTCAAGAGCGATTACACTGGGTCTGTAAGTACCAGGCTAGAAGGGGTACTGAGAACCTCTGCCACCCGCTCAGGACACCAAACCCAGATCCTTCTCACACTAAGCATGCAATAAACCCAGGAGGCTTTCACTGCGGCGCTTGCCGTTGAAAATGTTCAAACTGGCTTCCAAAATTCTCCGCATCACGGGGAGGAAGGGGACCACCCAATGAACTTCCAGCTAAACACTCTCTTGAATTCTAGTTGTTTTTTTTTTTTTTCCTTCCCACTCTATTCCCAGGAACCAAATTGAGTTCACAAGAAAATATTAAACTATTTAAGAAGTCACGTGCTTAAACTTTGATGCTGACTCTAAAAACAAGAGGCCTAACGTCTTGGATTCATTTGTTGGGGGGGGTGTTTTTTGTTGTTTTGCATTCCAGTCATTTTGGCATTTACCAAGTGACTAATACTCCTTGGCAATATCAGTTTATGCTGAACCCAGGACCTTTCATTCGGGCCAAGTATGCTCATGATTATTCAGGTATTTTTGTGAGGTTAGCTGGCCCAATCACTTAAAACTCTGTATGGTCAACACAATGTTTTCTCATTTGTTTTCTTATTTGATCCTTAAAAATGACCTATGAGGTAGACTGAAAAGGTTTGATTATTCACCTTGCACAGATGGGGAAAGCAGACCCAGAGAGGCTAATTTAGACCCAATTATACTAATTTCAGCCTTAATAAGTAGCAGAGTTAAGGCTTACAACTAAGTTTCCCCTCTCCAGGCTCAGAATTGTTCCCACCACACAGGAGGCGGTGTACAGTCAAAGAAATTGTGGGCTGGATGTAAATCCCCACCCTGCCAACCACCGGCTGCCTGACTTGATCTCTTTCAGCAGAGATAAGACCTTTCAGTCAGTGGCCCAGGCAGGATGATGACCAGCTGCTCCTCAAATTGATAATCTCTGCATGTTTATCTCTATTTAGCGAGGGTATAGATAAACTGATTTTCTAATAACAAAAATTCATCGTATCTTTGCTTTAAACAATATGTCCATTCCCCCTTGTCCTATAGCTCCAGCTCCTTTAAGTCAAAAGTGTTAATGGCCCATAGACACGTCATTAAAGACCTAGAGCAGCATAAGGAGAAGCTCCACATGGTACGTTACTTGAGAAAGCCCGTTTGGATACACCCCTCCCCCAAGTCTCTCCTCTCCCTCCCTTTCTCTTTCAGTGTCCCTCCTCCCCAGCTCTGACATCCTGTTCACAGGTCTTATGCCTCCTGAAATCTCTCTCCCTTTCTTGGCAGAGTAACTTAACTTCATCTCAGCTGCTCTCCCTCTAAACTTGCTCCCTCCCTCTACAGAATAATAGAAATCTTCAAGTATGTCAAAGATCATTTCACTGGGAATAAAGACTTCCTTGAACTCAACAAACCAAAGAACCAGGGCTAAGCAGCAGACTCTATCTGATGAGGAGTAAGGCAGTAAGGACATTGTTAAAATACGTATGTAAATTTTGTCTTGCTCTTTGATTAAATTCAAATGAGGGATTAATACACGTGCTAAGCAGAAGTGGGGCCAATTTACATTTCACCAGTTTTATAAGAAACCATGGGATAAAACCATTCTGAGTTGACGCCATAATCCCAATCAATTTCAAAATATTTAAATTCGTTTCACTGTGTTTTTTCAACTCTTTTAGAAGATTTAGTAATTCTAAAATAGCCTCAAAATATATGAAGTAAAATTTATAGCACTATAGGTAGAAATTTAAAAATACAATAACTTGGGCGCCTGGGTGGCTCAGATGGTTAAGTGTCTGCCTTCGGCTCAGGTCATGATCCCAGGGTCCTGGGATCTAGTCCCGCATCAGGCTCCCTGCTCCTTGGGAGCCTGCTTCTCCCTCTGCCTCTCTCTCTCATGAATAAATAAATAAAAATCTTTAAAAAAATAAAAATAAAAATACAATAACTTACTAGATTTCAATATGTCTTAGTTATTTGAAGGTCAAAAATACACGAAAATGTAGAGCATTCGAGTAACATAACTAATATGCATGATCTAATGGGCACATATACAGATCCTACACCCAGCAATTAGAGAATATACATCCTTCTCAAGCACACTGAAACATTTTTCAAAAAAAAAAAACCCAAAATTAATGTGAAACAACTAAGAAGGAAGAGATTCTGTGATACAGATAAGCATTAACTTGATTCTCTTTTTAAATTTTTTTCTTAATTTTGAGCATTACTAGCACTAAGTGAGCGTAATGCTTATAATCATTGTTCCTGAAGCCATGATCACCCTTGTGAAACCCACCATTTTTTTCCATTTGCAGACCCTGCCATGAATTGAGAGGGAACTGCTTGCATCTTTGACAACATAATTGAATTGTATGAGCAATCCGACTCAGCTGTTCATGTTTATTTTTTTCAGCTTTACTGCGGTATAATTGACAAATACAATAGTAAGATATTTAAAGTGTACATTGTGATAATTTGATATACATATACATTGTAAAAGGATCTCACAGTCGAGTTAATTAACATAGCCATTACCTCACATATTTGCTTGATTTTATTTTTGGTGAGAACATTTAAATTCTACTCTCTTAGCAAATTTCAATGATACAATACAGTGTTACCAACTGTAGTCACCATGCTGTACATTAGGTCCCCAGACCTTATCACTGGAAGTGTGTACCCTTTTATTAACCTCTCCCTGTTTTCTCTACTCCCTAACCCCTGGCAACCATTTTTCTACTCCTTCTAAAAGTTTGACTTTTTTTTTTTTTCCAGGATAGAGCAATCCTTTATTTTTAGACACTTTCGCAAAGAGGTTTTCAGTAAATGAACTTTCCAGGGGAGAAGAGAGAACACGAAAATCAGCCTCCATCCATCAGCAGCAGCTCTGCTCAGGGCCTACGATCCTCCTTGCCCAAGTGGTGAAGTGGAGGTATGTACTTCCCTTCCTTTATTAGTTTATCTCGCTGCCTCCTGACGTCACTCAGATGTTTCACCGTTTTCTGCCGAAGCAGACATTCTACGAAATCATCAGATTCCATCTTGCACTCTTTCCCTGCACGGGTACCACCGATTCCATGCGCACATTCTATCCATTCTTTTTCAAAAGCATGGCATTGACCTGGAATCTTGTGAAGCTGCTCAGCACTTTGGATTATCATCCAATGATGTAAGTTAAGGCCCAGCCTTTTCTGCACATCAAAGAAAGGCCCGGCGTCGTGCCGCGGAGCCCTTGTCTCCTTGCTGGCCTCCACTACTGGATGATCTCTAAAAGTTTGACTTTTTTATTCAAGATTTTTAAGATTTTCCAAGCTTTAAGAGACACCATTTAGTATTTGTCTTTCTCTCCATCTGGCTTATTTCACTTAGCATTGAGATCTATCCGTGTTATCACAGATGGCAGGATTTTATTCTTTCTCATAGCTGAATAATTTTCCATTGTATGTATGAACCACATCTTCTTTTTCCATTCATCCACTGATGCACATTTAGGTTGTTTCCATACCTTGCCTGTAATGAACACTGGAATAAAACAGATATCTCTTCAATAACCTGTTTTCATTTCCTTCGGATATATACCCAGAAGTGGGATTGCTGGATCATATGGTAGTTCTCTTTAATTTTTTGTGGAATTTTTGTACTGTTTTCCATAGTGATGGTACCCATATACATTCCCATGTGTTCCTTTTAAATAGTTTTTCCGGCAACTGCTCGGTTGTATCGCTCTTTCATTGGGCTCATCTTCTAAACATTGGTTTCCTCATCTGGAAAATGGGGATAGTATTTACATGCACTGGTTTGATGAGAATTAAATGAGATGCCCTAATATAACACACCTAATCACAGTGTCTGTTCATGGGAGGTAATAGGCAAATCTGTGCCCTCACCCTTACCCACATATGCCCACAGTGCTTCTCCCATCACTCCAGACCAAACTCCCATCAAATATCATCAACTTGGGCACCTGGGTGGCTCAGTTGGTTAAGCGACTGCCTTCGGCTCAGGTCATAATCCCGGAGGCCTGGGATCGAGTCCCACATCGGGCTCCCTGGCAGGGAGTCTGTTCCTCCCTCTGATCCTACCCCCTCTTGTGCTCTCTCTCTCTTAACTCTCTCTCTCAAATAAAAAAATAAAATCTTAAAAAAAATATATCGTCAACTTTCCTGGGGACAGGATCTTGTCTTTCTTCTTCTCCTCCTCCTTCTCCTCCTTTTCAGATGCCCCTCTCCTTCTTCTTCTTAAGACTTAAATATTTAGGGGCGCCTGGGTGGCTCAGTCGGTTAAGCAGCTGCCTTCAGCTCAGGTCATGATCCCAGGGTCCTGGGATCGAGCCCCGCATCGGGCTCCCTGCTCCGCGGAGAGCCTGCTTCTCCCTCTCCCTCTGCCTACAGCTCTGCCTACTTGTGCTCTCTATCTTTCTGTTGGGGGGTGGGGGGAAGAATTTTTTAGAGTAGTTTCAGGCTCACCACAAAATTTCTAAATTACAGAGATTTCTCAGACACCCCTGTCCCCATACATGCACAGCCTCCTCCATTATCAATGTCCTTCACCAGAGTGGTGCAATTGATGAACCTATGTCGACACATCATATTCACCCAAAGTCCTTACTTTACATTTCAGTTCATTCTTGGGGTTGTACATCCCATGGGTTCAGACAAATATATAATGACATAATGATATTATATTTTTACCACCTTAAAAAATCTTTTGTGCTCTGCCTATCCATTCCTCCTCTCCTTCCCCCAACCACAACAACCATTAATATTTTTACTATCTCTGTAGTTTTACCTTTTCCAGAATGTCATATAGTTGGGATCATAGAATAGGTAGCCTTTTCAGATTGGCTTCTTTCATTTAGTAATATGCATTAAGTTTCCTCCATTTCTTTTCATGGCTTGATATCTCATTTCTTTTTAGCACTGAGTAATATTCCATTGTCTAGATATACCGCAGTTTATCCATTCACCTACTGAAAGATATCTTGGTTGCTTCCAAGTTTTGAATTATGAATAAAGCTGATATAAACATTCACATGCAGGTTTTTGTGTGGACATGTTTTCAACTCCTTTGGATGAATACCAAGGAGCACAATCAATGGATCATATGATAAGAGTATGTTAGTTTTTTAACAAACTACCACACTATCTTCCGAAGTGGCTTTGCATTCCCAGCAGCAGTGAATGAGAGTTCTTCTTGCTCCACATCCTGTCCAATATTTGGTGTCAGTGTTCCAAATTTTGTCCATTCTAATAGGTGTACAGTAGTATCTCGTTATTGTTTTAAGGCCTTGACCTTTTATCCCTTATGCTTAGCATAATGTGACAAATGCTGAGTATGGAGAAGTCCCTCAGTAGATGTTTCTTAGTTGACTTTCCAAGTTAAGTAGATTCTCTCTTTCTCTCCCTCTCCCTGCCCCTGTCAATTTCCACACATATATACATGCATACACATACAACCATATGTATATACATATTTTAGCCTGAAATTTCCTTACGTTTGTTAGTAACACACACTTATGTGACAATAAAAGTATTATCTTTAGAAAAGAGATAAGAAGTCTTGGTTACTCAACATGGTGAGCCATTGATTCTTATACCTGAGAAAAAGTTAAAATGCCTACATTCATTGAAATTATTGTATCTGTGGCAAAGAGGACATAAGTTCTCAGGGTTCCACCTGGAAGATGAATGTTCCTTTTCCTTCCAAGACTGATTTTATCTGCCAGTGAAGGATAAAGGGGTCATTTGAAGTGACAGAGGCCTGAAATGCTGCCTCCAAGAAACACTGTTGCTAGTTTTGGTTAATTCTTCCTCTCTGGCTGGAGTATAACTAACCCCCACAACGGAGTTTGCTATCTGACTCATGTTTTATTTGACTTCATTCTTAACCCATCTATGAGTGCTTTGTAGATTGGTGTTGTGTTTTGGAAATACAAAGAATGCTAGAGAATTCAAGTGAGGCTTTTAAAAATTGATCATTAATTTGGTAAATAACGTCATCCTATCAAGAATGTTTAAGTTTGACCCTTGGCATATAAACATTTTTAGGAAGTATATTAACTAATTTGTTAGTTCAATTATAATTAATATCTTCTATTATTTTCTCTTACTCAAACACTACAGAATTATTTCCCTTGAGTCTCAATTATTCCACATCTTTTTGCTGTGAGCCAGTCCTCAGTCATGCATGAAGCATCTCCCATGTGTTGTGCACTCTATTAGACAAGACACCAGCGCCCTAACATGTATAGAGATCCAGGCTAGAGTACACATGGAAGCTCACGTGACATAGGCCTAAATATTTCAAGGTTGCAAATGACAAGATATGATCCATCCTCTCACCATGATAAATATACCTTCCTAACTACCTGGAAGGCCAGGTTCAACTTTAGAACCCTCAGGTTCCTTGAGGCTTCAGGCCCCAGCTCTCTGCCTAACTGCCTGCTCCTCCTAGTCCTGCTCTAACCTCATCCCTGGACACCTCGCGTGCACACATGGGGACAGTCTAGCCTGTTTATACAGGTTCTGTCCATATGCTTCACGAATAGCTGCCTTGGCCAGTCCTCGGATCTAGGAGTTAGCACATACATTCTTGGTCCCTTCTTAGAGGACAGATCTTGGGAAAGGGCTCATCCAGGCCCCAAAGGGAGGATTGGATCTTTGGACAGGGAATTCTTGGGCTCTAGGTAAGCAAAGCATGGTCTAGAAACAGCGAGTGTAGGATCTGGGTAGACATGGAATCCAGGAAGGCACATCCCTGGTCCTGCTGACTTCTCACCTCAGGTATAGGGACACTGCTGGAGGACGGCCAAGGTAGGGGTCTCTGAAGCACAACCCTCCATTTTCAGGGTTTAAGAGCAGTGCGTATGCTAGATAAGGAACTAAGATCCTGAATAGGCTGCAGATTGTTACCTCATAGTTCACTGAGGAGACGGACATATAAACAGTGAGCACTATACAATGTGGTGCATGCAATAATTTAGATATGTGTATTGTGCTAGCATGACAGAAAAGGGTGGTGTCATTAGTCAAGTCAGGAGAAGTGTCATTGGAGCTCAGTCTTGAGAGATAAAGTACTCACTAGGCAATGTACACCTGGATGAGATGGCAAGGCAGAAGGGCGCCTGGGTGGCTCAGTTAGTTAAGCATCCAACTCTTGGTTTTGGCTCAGGTCATGATCTCAGGGTCGTGGGATCGAGCCCCACAACCGGCTCTGCACTCAGCGCAGAGTCTGCTTAAGATTCTCTCTCTGCCCCTCCCCCTTGCACACTCTCTCCCTCTCTCAAATAAATAAATAAGTTTTAAAATAAATAAATGTGATTTTGAGAAGACCCAAGCCCTTTGTTAGTCTCCTGGGTCATGTCACATGCAAGCCACCTACAAATCAAGCAGGCTGGCGATACCCTCTCTGGGAGAAGGCGTGACACAGGCTTCCAAGATTACAGACCTTCCTTGTGCCCATGTGTTTTCATGTTGATAAATGATTTGCCTTATGTACAAAATTTGATCTACCTGATTTAGTATTATTTCACAAAGAGTTTATCTTGCTTGAAGTGAATCCAGGCCCCTCTGTTTCTCCTTCTCTCTATGAATCCTTCATGGGATATTCAGGAAAACAGTACCATCCAAGAAAAACTAGCATTTAAAACTTTGGAATATAGTAGAAGGTTTGGATGATGATGGGTTTATAATAACTGTAGAATTTCTAAAACCATGTACATTTATGTTTCTCAGGTCATTCCTACCCTTGTTTTTCATTGATAAGTGTTGGCTGTAACTGATTTCACATGCAGTTCTCAGATTTCATCTCCCCTTTATATTTTCTTTTCCCCATCCCAGAAATAATATATAGAAACCATAATAGTTTAGTTCAATTCCTCTAAGAGAATAACTTGGCTTTTTGTTCCTGGGGCAGTAATGTTTTGTGTTTAATGATTAAGAATAAATAATGGGGCACACATTTCACTGGCAATCTACGAAACAAATCAGTTGAAAAACTATGCCCTGAATTTCTCAACTATTCTTAAGATTGGGTCAAAGTACAGGAAGAAAATAAACTCTTGATCAAATTCTTGCCAGGCTTAGCAAAATCTCCTTTTGGAGGAAGCATATTCAGGATAAACCCTCTGACTTGGCTTCTGCTCCTACTGGCACCCCATGAGATATTGGCTAAGTTGCTTAACTTCTCAGTGTAAGCTTTCCTATCTGCACAAGAGGCATTTGATGATGATCATCTTGTCAACAAGCATTTATTGAGCGTCTATTTCCATGCGCCACTGTACTGGGTACTCTACCAAGATGCCTGCCCATCAGAGATATAGCAAGGGTCAATGAGATAACAAAACTAAAATGTTTTAATATCCTTGAAAGAATGAAGCTGTGCCAGACCAAGAGATTCTGAATTTAAAGATTCATAAAGGTGAAGAATGGTCATCACAGTTTTCATAATCTTAAATCTATTTAGTTGACATGGAGATAAGTATTAATCCCCATACAGAAGAGTTAGCACTGCACAGAGACAAGCTCTTGGAATATAAGTACAGACTACAGGATCTCCAAGGGGATTAGGGTAGAGAGCAAGCCTGGATAAATAGCTGCAAATTTATCCTAAATACACTGGCAGTAAATAAATAAATAAATAAATATATATATTGAGCAAAATCATTGCCTACGAAGAGCACTATGCTTTTTATGCTCCAGTTGCCCTAGCAGATTAATCCTCTGCCTTTCTCCACCCTACTGTATGCGCTGGGCAACTGACCCCTAGGGACTCTGTCACCCAGTCTCCCTTGCCACTGCCTTCCAGTTCAGTTTGGCCAACAGGAAGCACCAGCAGGAGATCAGAGGTAGGACAGAGATGGTGATGAGGGTGTTTCCTCCTGGCTCTCTGTCTTCTTCAGGTGGGTCTTTGGCAGGGACTGTAGTCTCCACTAACTTCCATGGGGAACATGTACCATCATTTCCTCCCCTTGCCCTTTACACCTAACAGTGGTAACAGCTTCCCACTGTTGCTGATCTCTGGGTTCTTCAGTGTCTCTTATTTGTTCTTTTGCCTGCCCATACCATTGTCAGTAGTTGTTTATTGAACTGTCTTTACTGGAAACTTCTGGGGTGAATTCTGTTTCTTACCAGGACCCTGACTAATATATACATGTTATAAATTTTTTTTTATACAGTCCATAGAGACCCTTATGTAGATCTAAGATATTTTTCATATGAAAACCAATATACCTGAGTATTTGAATCAACCTCTCCACAAGATGTCCCTGAGATGTTTAGATTTCATTTCTTTGAATTTCTTGAAATGCTCACACAGGAGCATTAAAATCCTCTGATGAAACCATTTTTAAGCTGAGAACTGATTGTGAGAATATCTTAGAATTGGTGAGAAACCCCAGAGAATACTTTGCACGTTGTTCTTTTTCCTTTACGTGGTTGATGACATGCATTTTATGTCAGAAGAAAGGAGAACATTCAGTAATTTTGGCTTTTCTTAGGCAATAATGGGTCTTGCAGGTCTGGGGATCGGATTTTATCTAAGAGGTTACACTGTACATGGATTGAAGCTTTGTGTCACACATGAAAAACAC